TCAATTGAATATTTTTCGCCACTACATTGGTCAAATTCGAATTAGTTAAAAATACTATATGGCTGTCAAATTGATATCTAATAGCAAAGAAAAGAAAAAAAAAAAAAAAATCATAAATTTTTTCTTCATAAAAATCTCTTAATACTATTTTGCATTCGGTACCAACCAATTGCATAAAAAAATTACTAAAGTTTAATATTAGGTTAGAAACTATGAAACGGGTGTTTTTGTTTAGTTATTTATTTTCATTCAACGGCCCTTTCATAGTTTCCAATCTAATATAAATCCTTATTTTTAATTGACTACAATACTTATTATTAAATTGTTCCCCAAAAAAATTTTTATACGTAGCATGATAATTATTTTAATTATATGAATTATACGATTGTTCGATTCGTTCACAAAAAGAAAAGAAAAGAAAAGAAAAGAAAAGAAAAAAAATATATATATATATACTAGAAATACTACTCTATTAAAATAATAATAGAGATACTATAATATAGTGGATAGAGGTCGCTATAATAGTTCCGGTGTTAAATAATTTTAATAGGTGAGTGTAAAATCTCAATGTAGTATATACTTCGTGTTTAACGGATCGATATATTTTGATGATATCTCGAAAGTCGAAATCGGTGGCGTGGCTGTGGTTCTCTGTTCGTTCGTTGTGCGTTTCTGAAGGTTGTAATACTGAGAAAAAAATGACGGCACACGACCAGATGCGAGCTATGCTCGATCAATTAATGGGAACAGGTCGAAATGGTAGGTATTATTTAATAAATTATTCATTAAATTGTTATTGTTATTTCCAATGATTAAATTTAAAGAATGAACGAATGATACTTAATTATCGACACAAGATGGGTGACACGAAGCCATATTGATCGTTTATCAACACACACACACACACACACACACACATATATGTACATACACAAATCATACATACATAATACGTACATATATATATATATATATATATATATATATATATATATATATATGCACACAGAGAGTTTGGAAAATTTTCAAATATTATTTATTTCTTTTCCTTTTTTTTTTCTTTTCACTATAGGTGAAAATAACAAATTTCAAGTGAAATACTCCGATCCGAAGGTCTGCAAGAGTTTTCTCCTGGCATGCTGTCCACACGAGATACTTTCATCAACGGTGAGTACAATGTGAAATTATCTAATTCGAAATTAAAATATAGCACACCACTGGCATAACATATATCATAAATACAAGCATATATGAGTTTCTTATAAAGAACATGTTTAATTTATTGATCTATACGTTTAATCCATTTTACATGTTAAATTTAATGTGAGTCCTTTTTTTGTTATTTAAAAAAAAAAAAAAAAAAAGAAAGAAAAAAAGAAAAAGAGAAAAGAAATTCTTCCATTAATATCTTAAGTTTTCTTCAATAAATCAATCTTATGCCTTCATTTTGCTAGGTGGTGTGCTTCTTTGTTAAGAATGTTGACAAATTTAGATTATAAGGAAACCTCCTCTCCTTATCGTAATTTATAAGCGTACAAGTACAGTGGTGTTTTGATATTTCTGTACCTGAAGATTTTCATTGAGAATCAAATTATTATATTATATTAGCACCGAGAGATTTTGTAGCACAGGGTAGTAATATATTTTAAAATAATTTATACCTCATATATATATATATATATACATATATGTATATATATATACATTCATATATATGTATATATATATATATTTTATTAGCACAATAGTTGCTATATGATGACATAGTCAAAATAATTAAAAAAAAAAAAAAAGAATAAATAAAACAAAATAATATAAAATAAAAATAACAAAAAAAAAGAAAAGAAAAGAAAAGAAAATAAAAAAGTAGTTAGATTATGTATTTTTTGATATTTCCCAAGTGCAAAATATTAAGTATGCACACATTAATATATAATAAATCTTAAGAAGTTTAATATATACTCTTATGTACTTGTATGATGCAACATCCACTGCTTCGCGCATTTCATTGTCATATCGTGCGAATTGGTCATAAGGGTGTTTGTTATGTGAAACACATTGATATTTAGAACTTTCAATTTCTTCTAATGTTTTATCTTTACAATTATTAAGGAGTTAGAATTAAAAGGAGTTCGAATTTTTTTTTTCTTCTGCAATTCCTTAATAATAAATGTAGGAATGTCAGTACTTACAATATACTTATATTACATGTAAAATAATATCTATAGTTACTTTTTATGTTCATAAAGGTTTTTTATCTTAAAAGAAAGAAAAAGAAAAAAAAAAAAAGGAAGTATCATGAATAATAAACATCCAATTAGTATTGAAATAGATTAATTAATATTATCTTTTTGTATTTTTTTTCATCAATTTGAAAAGCATTGTATATAATTTAATATTGATGATAATAATGTGTATCTCACAGTTAACAAATACCCTTAGTGATTTCTATCATCGAAGGTAACGCGTTGGCTAACTACTCAGAGTTCAAACCGAAATGAAATATTAACGACGAATGCGCACGAAAGTAATGATATTCAGATCCACTAATACCAACGTAACCACAGTTCTATTTCCAGAGTCTCTGGAAAAAGCAAAGTCAATCTGATCCATTGTACAATATTGTTGCGAGTATTGTCCGCTCATATGTCGTGTTGTACTTGTCACTCTCACATGCGCGTTACTGTAAGTACTGAAAGCGAAAAGGACGTACGTATTACATATACAATTTGATTATTATTACATAATTAAAGTATTAGGTGTTAATTTGATTGACAAAAAAATATGGTGAGCGGATGTCTCAGCCTCTCTACCACTATACATATATATATATATATATGGTTGGTGAGGCGCTGAGTACCGCATTTAATATTCCCAGACCCTGAAAGGCGTGTAAGTTGGTGAGTAGCATCATGCTGATTCATGCGATGATGTCTTACAGTCGCTTCTTACTAACAATGCCATTTATGGCAGGTAGAAAATGAAGTTTATTTTAAGTATATATATGAAAAACCAACCTTGGAATTATGGGTACAGGAAATGAAGCACTGATCTGTAAGTAAGACTTGCTAATTGCCATGAAAACATAAAATAGTGTATATTTTCTTCGATTTTTAACTCTCAAAACTAATTGACTTCAATATATGATCTAATATACTTTAACTTATTATTATTCAATACAAAACTCAGGCAAGATCATTTTTCCTTTACATTTTTTTTTATTTTTTATTTTTATTTTTATTTTTATTCATTTATTTATCTTTATTATTTTACTTAACTTTCTTTTATTTTATTTTATTTTTTATGAGTAATTTAAAAGTTGCACATTTTTTTTGTTTTTTTTTGGTTTTTTTTTTTTTGTTTTTTTTTGTTTTTTTTTATGAAACTATAGAATGACGCAATTAATCGAATACATGTGTATTTTTATAGGGGATATTTAGTATTGAATTTCAGGTCTCTATATTTATGATCGATTTAATTGATGATTAAAATAATTCTAAGAGTACAGACATCATTAATATGAACCTAATAGAAAAATATATATATATATGTATATATGTATATATATATATTGATGTATATGTAATAATTAACGTATAAAAACTTTCCTTTTATCATAAATTCGATGTGGGAATAATAAGATATTGGCAATTTGCAAAACATAAAATGTCCACAAGAAAAAGTGAGAGATGGCATGAAGCAGAGACAATATTAAGCGGAATTATACAACGTGCCAGTTCCATTAGCAAAATTCCCCTCAGCATTGGATGTACGTATTCAACTCGATTTTCTAAATCGTTTAGCAGTCTCGCAAGGCAGTTCGTGCCGTACGTAAATAGTGTAATATACTATTAGGATATAAGTTCTTTCATAGAAATGAACATGTGAACTGAAGGTGTATGCTGATTGTAGCGTCATTGTCATCGCATTGTCGTGTCAGGCGGAGAGGTGTTACCACTCTGTAAGTGAATTCTATGTATAAAACTACATTGTTAATTTACCCATTGAAAATCAACCGATGAGAGCGATTTTTCATATGCGTTCTTAATAGCGCATTAGTGCAAGTGCAATAGTTTATAAGTTCGTCTTGAAACATTTTTAGATCATCTCCTTTTAAAAATATATGGGTGCGTATATGTATCTCACTTTTAGTAATAAATATATCCCTATTTGTATGGTACTCATTAAATTGAGTATTGACATAAAATATTGATTTCATCCAAGGAATCATAAATAAAGGCGATATGTTTAATATTAGAAGCGAAATATGAATACTTTGCCTAGGTTTTATCTCTTTGGGGGATTTTATATATTGTCCGAGATCTTGGATAAACAATTTATCTTTATTAATAAATTCAAACTAATTTCACATGAAATCCAGAGCAGACCCAACAACCATGCTCTTGTCAAATAAGATTTCTTAACTGAAGTCTCGCAAAGGGTGTTTAATTATATGTATATATATTTATATATATGTATATATATATGTATATATATATATATGTATATATACATATATAAAAATAAGAACAATTACTTTATTAAGAAGATATAATAATTTAATATGAATTAATTTGTAAATCGCAGCGCATGGACCTGGGAGAATGCCCCCAGATTCACGACTTGGCCCTACGGGCTGACTATGAGGCGGCACAAAAGAAAAAGGATCATTTTTATGATATTGATGTAAGTAACCTCTTACCTTATTATCTAGTTGATGTAAAAAATTATATATATATATTTACAATAAATCTCTTAAATATGAATTGTCATTAGGCTATGGAACATCTGCAAAATTTTATTGCGGACTGCGATCGTCGTACCGAACAAGCGAAACAACGTCTAGCAGAAACACAAGAAGAATTAAGCGCTGAGGTTGCAGCAAAAGCAAACAATGTACATGTTCTTGCCGAAGAGATTGGTAAGAAATTAGCTAAGGCTGAACAGCTAGGGGAAGAAGGTTTTGTTGAGGAATCTATGAAGCTGATGGGTGAAATCGATGAACTACGTAAGAAAAAGAACGAGGCTGAGCAAGAATATCGAAATAGTATGCCAGCATCGAGTTACCAACAACAAAAATTGAGAGTGTGTGAAGTGTGTAGCGCATATCTTGGTATACATGATAACGACAGAAGATTGGCCGATCATTTTGGTGGAAAGTTACATCTTGGTTTTATCAAAATAAGAGAAAAGTTGGCGGAATTACAGAAAACGGTTGAGGAAAGGCGTAAAGAAAAACGTGACTCGTTATTAGATAGACGACGAGATAGAGATAGAGAGGATCGTGATAAAGACCGTGATAGATCGGATAGGGGACGTGGTTTGGGATATAAAGAAAGGGATCGTGATCGTGATCGAGATCGCGACCGTGAACAACGTGATCGTGATCGTGATCGTGACCGTGACCGTGATCGTGAACGCGACCGTGATCGCGACCGTGAACGCGATCGTGACCGAGATCGCGAGCGCGACCGTGATCGTGAACGCGACCGTGACCGTGACCGTGATCGTGATCGTGATCGCAGAGATAGAGATAGAGACAGAAGGAAGTCACGATCTCGAAGTCGTAGTCGAGGGAAGAGGTTGGTATCAAAATAAAATTCATCCTGATTATTTCTGCAAAATCAAATAAAGAAAACGTTCTCTTTGCCTTTGTGTTTTTTCTTTTCTTTCTTAAACTGTTCTAGATCGAAACGTTCGCGAAGTGGCAGTCGTGGCCGTCGATCTCGATCTCGACGCAGTGCATCGAACGATCGGAAGAGATAAAACTCGATATATATATATATATATACATACATACATACATACATACATACATACATACATACATACATACATACATACATACATACATACATACATACACACACACATACATAAATAAATATATACACACATACATACATACACACACAACAGAAAGAGAGACAGAGAGAGAGAGAGAGAGACAGACAGACACACACAATAATGTTTAATGATTTACTTTAAAACAGTATTTTCTTTTCTTTTTTTTTTCTTTCCCATTCTTTTTTTTTTTCTTTTTCTTTCTCCCTTTTTTTCATATATATGCAGATTTTTCAAGATTATGTGTAAAATAAATTAACAAACATAAATAAATAAATTAATAAAATAACTCGTATATTAAATATTAATAAATGAGATGTGATCCATTTCGGATATGAATATATGAAGAAGCATTTGTATGTCACTTATATAGTTTCAATAATAATATTACAATCGACATATTCATGCTACGTTCTGCTTTTGTTAATCAATAAGAAACTATTAAAGGTTGTATATATATATATGTATATGTATATACGTATATGTATATGTATATGTAAATTAGAAACTGCAAAGTTATATATTTTTCATTTTTACCCGGTTATATTATATATATATATATATAATTATATATATATATATATATATATATATATATATATAATTATATATATATATATAATTATACTTTTAAATTAGCTATTTAGTTCATTGTAAATAAATAAATTTTAAGTATCCGATACATTTTAGATCTTCTCTATACGTTTATATATATATATATACATATATATATATATATATATATATATGTTTGCACATACCTATATTAAACAAGCATAGTCGCTATCCTGATTTAATGATACCACATATAAGAGATATATCATATTATGATTATTCTATTAATTGAAAAAAGTTTTCAAAATTATATAAACAAAAAAATTACTATTATTTTTTACTAACTGCTGGGTATCATCATGGCTTCTCAATATATTACGAAGGGAATAAGAGGAACTATTATGGTAGTTAATAAATTAAGATGAAAATGTAATAAATAAATTAGTATATATAGGTGGTGAAATGGATGAATGAAAATTAAGGTTTAAAAAAAAAAAAATTACTTTGTTACAAGTTGTATTGTAATAACGAGTTCTCATATACGAAAAAGAAGTCTTCAGTAAAAAAGATTTAACTCCAAGTTTTATATATGAAATTTCTGAAGATTCTAATGTCATTTGCGTATCATGATGAGAGAAATTGTATAATGCCATGAGCTTTTCTTATTACTTAGATTTTATAGTTAAGAGAAAGACAACAAGATATGCAAAATAAAAGAGATAAAGCAAAATGTTAGATTATATTCTTATAAATTTCATGTTTATCCATTGTCTTTATATATATATATAAATTAATATTGCCGAATAAATTGCTTTATAAATGATTGAATAAAATTTTTCAAAGATATCGTTATATTTGATTTTGGACAAAGTAATAATTACAATGCAAAAATTAATTTATAGGAATAAATTGTGGTTCATATGGTCCCAATGTTCATTCAAACTTTTTGCGGTATATTTTTAAACAACGCTGTGCTTTTAAATATATTAATATAATAGAAAAAACAAAAAAGAACTTATGAATCAGATAAATATATATATATATATGCAATAAAATATGCTTAATATAAGTATTTCATAAAAATCGTGCCTTTTCTAGGCTTCTTTTACAATAAACTGATGACACACAACAAATATGTGCAAGTAATTTTCTTATATATATATTTAAAAAAAAAAAAAAAAAGAAAAAAAAGAACCAGTCTTCTGAGAGTATTAATTTTTAGGCCAAATTGGGCTAAGTTTATTTGTTATCCTTTAATGATATTGATGTGTAATAATGTAAGAATTATTGAAATAAATCAAATACAGTTACTGTAAGTTTCATATACACAGTAATTCAATATTATTTTGTGAATATCGTTGGAATACGATATAGAAATATAAAAAATGCGAAGTGTTAAATATATAAGATTATGATACAAATTATCCGTCTGATACTTTATGAATTTTTTTATCAAATGATATATCAGATCTTCTCTTTTCTTTTTCTTTTTTTTTTCTATTTTTTTTCTTTTTTTTTTTTTTTTTTTTTTTTTTTTTCCTTTACATAACCTTAATAATTACCTATTATACTATTTATGCCACTGAATTATCAAGCACCTTCACGCACAAACTATTAATACGTAAAGGTTAATTATTAGTTATTAGATCTAATGTAAATTATAGGAGGTCATTTCAAATTAAATGAATAGATATTTCATCATTAAAAAAAAAATTCTGCTTTACGCATTAGCGCATTGACTAATTTTCGGATTATCAAAATTATTATCCTATTACATATAGGAAAGCAAATTAGAAGAATCAATAATTTGTTTGCCTAGGAATGGGATGGCGAAGTACTAAGACACTGTCTGCTGATATTATAGGTAATAAGTTGTCACAATGATGATTAACTAAATGACTTACGCTATCAAAAACACGGTCCTTTGTGCGAACCTGTAAATTGTATTTTTGTTTCACATTATTTCCAAGAAAAGAAAAGAATAACAAAGAGAGAGAGAGAGAGAGAGAGAGAGAGAAAGAGAGAAAAGAAGATATATAAACTTGTTAGTTTTACTTTAATTAACTCTAATTATAAAAATACTTACAACTCCCTCTGGATCTATCAATAACAAATGCTTTGGTGTATTGTTATTCATACCAGTAAGAACATATTGACCTGGTGACCCTTGTGATTCACGCACTAGAAAATCTCCATCCTATTTTAGATTAATGAAATTATATTACACGTAAATTTCGCATAAAAAAAAAAGAAAAAAAAAAAAAAAAAAAAAAAGGAATTATAATTTATTTTGATTGTTTTTAAATTATACTCACTCTCATGAGCATAGATTCTGCTTCAGCGCGACTGACACTACCGTGAAACCATATTTCTTGCTTTAATTGATTTTTCTGCGAACGTGGACTTAATTTATTCATTTCTGATATAGCAGAACTGAATGGTTCTGGGGAAAAAAAAAAGAAGAAAAAGAAATAGAAAAAATAGAATATTTAATAATTTGTCTAATATTATAATATTATAAAAAAAAAAAAATATTAGATATATTAACTTACGCATATCGAAAACATCAAAAAGTGATGTGTTTTCACGATGATTGTCTCTATTTGCAAGTATGACACTGTCATTCATATAATTGTGTTCGTGTGCTGGATTAAAACTTGAGGTAGTTCCATCTGCATTTAAATCAATTAAATTTCCAGTTTCTGTATTTAAAAAAAATAAATAAATAATAATAATAATAATAATAATAATAATAATAATAATAATAATAATAATAATAATATTGAGAATTATATAAATAACGATCAGTATGTTAAGTACATATAAAATGAACACAATTTTTTTTTACGATAAAATTACCTGTCCATTGTTGGAGTTGTCTATTATTATCAATAGAGCAAGTATCATGTAATATAGAGTTTTGTGGATTACAACGTGTTATTTGATTTTGTGTAGAGTGATGTTTTAAATTTGGTAATGTTGATGCTGCATTAGGTAAAGGTGGTACTGGTGGTGGACCAATATCTGGTGGTACCTTTCCTGGTAAATCGTTATAATAATCTCTATCTGCTTCCCTCATACCATTTAATACAGGACTATAAAATATATATATAATAATAATAATCTACTCTTTTTTCTAAATAGTAAATACTTCTTAAAATAATTAAAATTACAAACTTACTGCAATGAATTTGGTTTAGTAAGAAATTCTTTGAATCTTATTTCAAATGCTTGACCAATCGTAGATATAACATCCTGCGCTAATCCACCTTCGCATTCCAGAACATAACACGCACGCCATTCATGCATATCTTTGGCAACATATGCAACAAAATCTAATATATCCTATAATAAAAAAGTATACTCTTCTTATAAAAATGATATATTAATTTTAATATTATTTTTATTTAACAATATAATACATACTGTATCACCACCAGAAGCAAAAGATATGCGTGGCATGTCATGTTTTGCGATAACTTGTCCAGTTTCTAAATTAGTTAAAGACAAACTACTACTGCTAATTGTCAAGTTTATGTTAGTACCTGCATGCTCCATACGAGGCTTATCAGCTATTGCTCTTAAAACTTTTCTATCAACCTATAATACAAAAATAAAAAATATGTACACAAAAATTTATATATATATATATATATATATATATATTTTTTTTTTTTTTCTACACATATTAATCAACTTGTAATGTTTTACCCTTCTTTTTTTATCAGCTGATTTTAATCCAACAGCTTCGCAAACTCTATTTATACATTCCCTATAAAATAAGAAGGTTCATTGTAGAAAATTAAAAATATTTAACGTATACGCATGAATCAATATTTTTTTATTACTTACTTAGCAACACATGATCTCGTTTCAAAATCTAAGCTCTTCATAGAAGTATATACTTCGAGACATCCTATATACTATTACATTTAATAATATAATTATTAATAAGTACATTTATATAACTCTTTGTAAGAAATAATTTTTTATTATAAATAACTTACTTTTACCATATAGCTAATCCCTTCTTTACTCACTAAATGATCGGGATGTAACCATCCCCTAGCTGGTTTACTTATAAAACTACCACCCGTCGCCATACCTAAAAAAAATCTATATAAGTAAGAAATAAATTATAAAATATATGAACATAAACAAAATTAGTAAAAATGTTGTAATACATGAAAAAAAAAAATTAAATCAATTTTGAAAATATTATATTCGTTACATAACATTAAAGGTATAATTAAAATTTATATAAAATTAATTAAAATGATTGACATACCAAAAAAAAATGTATATTTGTTTTATAGAAGTGAACTTTGTACTTGTACTTGTTATTGTTTCATAGAATTGAACTTTAGAATTAGATAGAATTATTTAAATTTAATGACAAACAAATAAAGGTATAATAATAACGATTAATTTTATTTTGAAAATATTTCTATAAATAAAGAATTAAAAATATTACCCAATCTATATTGCTGCTATTTAGAATGTTGATACATTGATGACACTTAAAATAATACAAGGAAATTCTTTAGAAATTGTGCATCCGATGATGTTATTATTCCAAGAATTAATATTAGTTAAATTATGCCAATATAGGAATATACAGGTATTATTAAGAGGCACTGGTATAACGTCATTATGTTAAACTGTCAAAGAAATTAAAAAATTCAAGTATCACTATCGTTTTACAAATCTTGATGAATGATCACACCCAGTGTTGCCATATGGTGTAATCAGGTGTGTCTGTTAAATCGTTGTATCATTTTAGAAACCCTTTAAAGGGATATGTCAACAATTGTCTTTTTAAAGATTAAATTTAATTGGTCGACGATGCAACATGGTATTTTGATTTCGACCAATCAGAGACGTTATGGGTCATTTAGTTTTTTCAATGTAATTATCCTTTGTTATTCGTAATTACGTAAGAAATTATTTTCAATTGTTTCATTCGTGTGAAATTATTTCGATAATTTTTTTTTAATTAAAATAATAAATTAATTAAATTTACGAAAAGTACAGGATTTTTTTGATCATCGAAGTTCATATTTATTTTCATAGTTTTTATCTTCATTGGTTGGTAACGTAAAATTGCATTTATGCGCATATAGACAAACTGTATAAAAAATGTAACCAATCATAGCTTAGATATATAATAGAATTGATTTCAAATGTTTCAATCTTATTTCCGCGGCTTTTTTACCGGTAACAATAGTATAGACATTGATAAAGAAATTTAAAAATGACGCGAGACAATGATACCGATGATATAATGGAAATAGAAATTTTACCATCTACGAGTGGATATAATACAAAAAATAAAGATCAATCTAACAAATCTTGTGATTTACCTTGGTAGGTTAAATGTTTCACATATCATTCGTTTATTTGATGTTCCAGTAAATAAGGTTATTTTCTATCTGCATGTTTTCATATTTTCTATGAGAAATTAAAATGTTATAGTATTTTTATTTTTTATTAATTTAAGATTAAATGGATTTAAAAAATTTTTGTATTATTTCATAATACAGGATTGAGAAGTATCGGCCACAAGTATTTACAGATATTGTTGGCAATGAAGATACTATTGCTCGATTATCTGTTTTTGCTCAACATGGAAATACACCAAATATTATTATTAGTGGACCACCTGGCGTTGGAAAGACTACAACGATTTTATGTTTGGCACGTTCACTTTTAGGTCCAACATTTAAAGATGCAGTATTAGAATTAAATGCATCTAATGACAGAGGAATTGATGTCGTTAGAAATAAGATCAAAATGTTTGCGCAGAAGAAAGTAAGTGGTAAAAAAGAAAAAAGAAAAAAAAAAAAGGATGCATATTCATCGTTCAGAAAAAAGAATACTCTTCTTTCTTTTCTTTTCTTTTTTTTATCTGTAATCATATAATTTAGGTCAATTTAGCTAAAGGAAAACATAAGATAATTATTTTGGATGAAGCTGATAGTATGACTGATGGAGCACAACAAGCTCTTCGTCGTACAATGGAAATATATAGTAGTACAACTAGATTTGCATTGGCATGTAATAATAGTGAGAAAATTATTGAACCGATACAATCACGTTGTGCCATGTTAAGATATGGGAAATTAAGTGATGCACAAATCTTGGCAAAAGTTATAGAAGTTTGTCAGAAGGAGAATGTAATTTTTCCTTTTTTTTTTTTTTTTTTTTTTTTTTACAAAATTTCTTTTCTCAACCAAAACAAATGAAGTATTTTTTTATTAAAAAAAAATTATTTATAGGTTTCATATACGGACGATGGTTTAGAATCTATTGTATTTACCGCCCAAGGTGATATGAGACAAGCATTAAACAATTTACAATCTACTCACAATGGATTTGGTCATGTAAATGGTACAAATGTTTTTAAAGTATGCGATGAACCACATCCACTTTTGGTAAAGGAAATGCTTGAATTATGTACCCAAGGAAATATTTGTAAAGCTTTTACGGTAAAATTCAATATTGGTAAAACATATTAATTAAGTTTTTAACTTATATTATTTATTTGATCTTCTATTTTGTTTTATTTTAAATAGATAATGCAACACTTATGGAAATTGGGTTATTCCGCAGAAGATATGATTGGAAACATATTTCGTGTTTGTAAAAATCTTCCTATAGATGAAAAATTAAAATTAGATATGATAAAGGTGAACATTATTTTTTATGTCTACATATCACATGTAGTTAAGGGGATTGCCATTTTGACTTGATATACATTTCGTTCAATTAATTTGATTATAAATTTACAATAATATATTACATGAATATTTCCTATCATAAATTATTTATTTTTATTATTATTATTATTAGTATTATTATTATTATTATTATTATTGTTTCAGGAAATAGGAATAACGCACTTAGGAATTGTGAATGGTATTAATAGTTTGTTACAATTGAACAGTCTGCTGGCCCGATTATGTCAAAAAGCTGTTTCGAAATAACAAAAATCTTAAGTTTAATTGAATTCAAATGTAAAAATAATAATAAGTCAATATATATATGTATAATTTTTGAAATTTTTTTTTTTACATTTATTATATACTCTATGTATTTTTATGTAATATCTATATACACAAACTATTTCATTCGATTATTTCAAAACTAACTTGCGATTACGAAAGAATCAGAATGAAACGAAAATAATAATAATAATAATAATAATAATAATAATAATAATAATAATAATATAATAATAATAAAAAGAAAAAGAATATAAGAAAAAAAAATCTTATCGTAGGTTTTTGATTGGTACTTTTTTTTTTTCACGAAGGCTCTACACGAGGGCGCTGTAGTGCTTTCGCAGTCAGCCTGAAGTTAATCGAAGATGCCGATTGTTACAAAAAAAAAAAAAAAAAAAAAAAAAAAACCATAAACCTAGGCCGGGTTTTTAGTTTAATTGTGAAATATTTAATCGTGCCGATTAATCTCATAACATTTCGTAAAAAGTTTAATTCATTTGCTAAAATAGAAATACATGAAGATATCTAATAATAATAATAACAAATTGTTTAACGTTTGTTATATCGAAAGATAGAATAATACGTTAAAATGCCGGCATTTACTTTAAAGATAGTACCACATTATCGGGACAGATGTCGCTAGTAAACGTAGTTATTTGAGGCGCGGCGCAGTGTGCTTTGCATCACTGAACGAGAAACTCTTTCGAAAAATATCATGCGATATATCCAGTGGGATTTTATGCACCCATGTCACGCATTCACAAATTTAAATAATCTCAACCACAGACCAGGCTAAACTATTGGTGTTTAAAAGAGAAAAGAACAGAAAAAAAAAAAAAGCTAGAAAGAAAAATCACAAATATATATATACATATATATATACTTTTTCTTTCTTTTTTTTCTTTTTTTTTTTTTCTTCTTTTTAAATCGAAAACATTGATCATTATCAAATAGGAAAATTAATTCTATTCTACGAATGGTCATCGTGGCAGTCACGTCCGATTTGTACTGACTTTATTTATAGTGTCTGGTTATTTTTGCATGTGTTTCTTTTAAAACAAGATGCAGCTGTCCGCTGGCTAATAGGCATTCTTGTGTACGTACCTCTGTAAGTTTGTTCGTTAGATAGGCCCAACACTAAATTAAGGCATAAGTAGTTAAAGAGACATCAGTTATAGTACTTCTACATGGACGCATTCGTTCGTGATACGTGGGTGTGTTAATACGTAAAATATATAAATTTTTTTTTATTAATCATTATAAATATTTTATAGTCAATTATTATAATGATCTGGACTTTTATACTGAGTGACAATATATAGAATTTATTTCGAGGACAACGTCGAAGATTTAACATCCAATATTATAATTGTGGTCATCTCTTGATTCAGGCAATACAGGTATAACAAGGATAGTTCAAACTTTATATATATATATGTATATATATTGATATATATATTGATATATATATATTGATATATATATATTTATATATATATATATATATATATATATATATAATATGAATATTTATAAAGAATTATCATAAAGAAATATCTATTTGTTAATAGTCCATTTTTTCTTTTTTTTTTCTCTAATAACAATTATATTCTGCCACTATACGTTACATTGTATTAACTTAATTATCTTGCATCAAGGTTGCATTTCATTATATGATATACTTGATACAGTGATACATTATGTCAATCTTATATATTTCCTAAACGAGTAAATGATTTTTTTTTTATATCTATATTAGATTAACGTTAGATAAAGGATTGAACTTTAAAAAAAGATATTTCTTATATTCAGATCTTTTTTTCCCATATAAAATGACATTGACTTTCATTGATATAAATAAATCAATTTTACATTTGAATTATATTCCTTTTATCGATTATTATTCTCATTGTTAATTTGTCACATTAAAGTTAAATTGGATTGTTTTTCTGTGTTAAGGAAAAGGCATTAATTGTTTATCAATTTGCTGCTGTTTAAATAAAGAAATAAAAGGGACAAATGGAATCTACTGTAACTGGACGAAGGCGTACTGCCACACGGCATTCTGCTGAGGATCAAGCACTTGATCAAATAGCTAAAGAGGTATGAAAAAATAATAATAATCTATTTTTTTTAATTCTATTAAAATATTATGTTCAATGAATATAGAACAATTCTATAAAACATAGTATTGTAATATTATGTTCTATAGAATTATTATGTTCAATGAGAAAAATGTAAGTTGAAGGAAAGCAATTGAATAGCTCTATGATACATAGAATGGCGATACACATGTACTTTTATGAATAGCTTATGTCTATCTAAATTTTTAATTTCATACCTGGATATGAATTGTTTATTAATATATATATATATAAAATTAGTATTCCTATATTGTTCTATCCACATTTCTATAAGAAGAAGACGTAAAGTAATACTTTAACCGCTACTAAGTTACATGTTATAAACCGCATAATGATAACAGCTTATCATAAAGATAAGATAGGAATGTCAGGAAAACAGGTAACTTTGTCTACGGAGTTAAGGCTAAAAGTGAGTATAACAAAACAACTACTATTACATTTTGTTTTTATTTAAGAAAGAAACAAGAGAAAAGAAATTGTTATTAAAATAATTAAAGTTATACGATTATTATATTTCAGACAAGTATTTTATATTTTTGGTATTAAGTATATATTATTCTTTTATTTGCATTGGGAAAAAAAAACATAATATTTGTGTATTTTTATTCATCGTAGAATTTTATACATGTATAAAGTTTAAAAAACATTTTAGTATGTCAATGTTTTTTTTTAAATAATTGTATATTCATTGCACACTCATATACATAAACATATATATATATATATATATATATATATATATATATATATATATATATATGTATGTATGTATATATGTATGTATGTATGTATGTATGTATATATTAGTACAAGAATTGATTTAATTCTAGTAATGTTAATAATCAATTGAATTTGAAAATGTTATTGGTAAAAGGATAGATTTTCCGTACATATTTTCAGGCAGAAGCACGATTAGCTGCAAGGAGACAAGCAAGAGCTGAAGCTAGAGAAATCCGAATGCGTGAATTGGAAAGACAACAGAAAGAAGCGGAAGAAAATGCTGATAGAGTTTATGATATGTGTTCAGGTAACTATTATAAAAAAAGGAATTCAAAAAATTATTATATTTCAATGATTTTTTTTTTTTTTTTTTTTTTTTTTGTAGATCCTAATAGAGCCATGAGAGTAACTCCGGATCCTGTAAGGACATCACGCTTGCTTACAAATTCTAATAATTTTCAATCCAGCTGTAAATCATCAGAAGATTCATTAGAAGATGTGGGACTTGGTAGAGATCTTAGGGTATGTGATTCATAATTGAGTAATATAACAAGACCATCTTAATTAGAATTAACACTGAGCCATTAGATACTAAAGTGTTATATAATTTATAGTTAGAGCTGAAGGAATTTGAAGAGAAATTCAGAAAAGCAATGATAGCTAATGCCCAATTAGACAATGAAAAATCTTCTTTTGCCTATCAAGTTGATATATTAAAAGATAAATTGGAAGAATTAGAAGAAATGGCAGCCCAATTACGTAGAGAACTTCGAGAGAAGAATCGAGACGCTGAACAATTAAAACGACTTGGTCAAAGATTAAAAGATGATTTAGATTTATGCAGAACGCAATTGTTAGAAAGGGATACATTAATTCAGGTATCTTTTAGTTTTAATTAAAAATTTTCTATCGTTAAAAATTAAATGAATTTATATAATAATAATAATAATAATAATAATAATAATAATAATAATAATAATAATAATGATAATGATATAATCACTTATCATATAGGAAAATGGATTAGTGATAGTTGAAGATGAAGGAACCGATGAAGAAAATGATGTTGAAAGTGGACCCTGCCATAGAAGAAGAGTATTAGTTAGTAAAGAGTCTGCAGATTTATTGCAGAATGCTGGAAAAGGATCCTTGGGTATATTATTTTAAATTGACATTATTTATATTACAATTGATATAATCAAAAACAAAAGTATATATAAATCGAACGATTTTTTCTTTCCTCTCTCTTACAGACGTTCGACTGAGAAAGTTTGCTTCGGAGAAAAAAGAATTAGAAGATCAAATACGACATTTAAGATTGGAATTAGAAGAAACCAAGAATCGCATAAGATCTGAGAGATCCCCGGGTGCAGTATTAGGTTGAAGTTAAATCTGTACATTACATGTGTGATGGAGTGCATACATCTTTTTTTTAATTTTTAATACTCCATAAAATGGTCTTATAAACAAATAGTTACGAAATGTTTTATCTGTCATAACAATTTTCAATTTCATCAAATGTTACTTTATACGAGCTGTTTATTGAAACAGGTGGCTTAACGTATTCTGAAGATATTCAACGAGAGGCTAATAAGCTTTTAATCGATTACAAATTCAAGCAGCAGAAAACGGAACAGGACATGTCTACGTTACAAGCCACGGTGGCTAGATTAGAAAGTCAAGTAATACGTTATAAGTCTGCGGCAGAAGCATCTGAGAAAGCGGAAGATGAACTCAAAATTGAAAAGAGAAAATTGCAAAGAGAAGTAATGAAGCCCTGTTTCTTTTTAAATAATCCATTTTAATATATGTGACGATAATATGTATTAATAATTTTATGATATTTTTTATAGGTTAGAGAGTTTCAAGGACGCGTTGAAGAGCTCGAAACAGCAAACTCGCATTTACAAAGGCGATTAGATAAACTTAAAAATGCTAAATCCGCTCTTTTTAAAGATCTTTGATGAAATTATTTTTGTTTTGTTTTCTTTTCTTCTTTTTTTTTTCTTTTTTTTGTTGGGATCCGTCAAATCTACTCGATTTTTTTTTCTTTTATGCTATCTATAGACGAAAAGCATTTATTTAATAATTTTTAAAATAACAATATCGCAAAATATATCAAAGTTATTTGACAATTTGATAATAACATTTAACAGAGAGTATGTGTACTGTTATCAGATCTTTTATAATTTAAAGAGCTTTTATCATTTAGAGAATGATACGTATAAAAATATTTATACTAATGAATTTGTACGCAAAGTCATTCTTTGTTTTTATCTGGTCTTTTGGTAATAAGCAGTTTAATGGCAATTTAACAACGAGAAAATGCTTGTTTAGTAATAATATTTTAGGCATTTATAATACTATATTAATTTATAAATAGTTGTGTAAAGACAATTTGTGCATGTACATAACATTGTTATGTTATAACAGCCTATCGGTTTTTACATAGTTCTCTCTATCCATTGACATCAATATTAAAAACGAATTGTGTGTTACATTTTGACTAATTAAATGATGTCAATGTGTAACATTATAAATATATATAAAACAATTCATATAAATTTATTTAAATTGTATAAATTTATATAAATTTATATAATTATATAAATAAGAATTTATATAAATTTTTAATCAATATTTCAATTTTGGAAGTTTCATGCTCACAATCAAAGCGTATACAAATTTAATATTTTGTAGTTTGAAATAAACAGGAAGAAGGAGAAAGAGAGAGAAAGAGAGAAAAAAATATTATGATTTTTGCAATTATATAAAGAAGTTAACATATTTTAGTAATTTATGTACTTGGTATAATAAGTATACTTAAATTCTTAAATTTTAAACTATTCTTCTAGTGTAAAATGGAAGTGATCAATTACGAATGTATTTAAAAGAGTTTGAACATTTGAAATTATGAGTTACGTAATTAGTTTTCAATTTTTATTCCTTTGATCCTTTATTTAGTTTTTTTGAAAATTTTCAAATGCATTTTATTATTAAGAACTATCGCGAACACGCAAGATAGATCATAAATGACAAAAACCACACCGGACTGTCCTTTAGCGAACCATAAAATAATATGCTTGAAAAAAATAAATAAGTATAAATATATCCTTATTGTGCAGAATAGTAATAACAGATGAGAAGATATAAAATTATTGTATACTGCGTTGGAAAAAAAAAAAGAAAAAAAAAAAGAAAAAAAAGTAAAAAAAAAAAAACAAAAAAAACATATCCTTGAATATGTTGGTAGTGAAAGTATATTTATGATCGTGTTGCATTTATAACTTGTATCAAAATGATTTCTGAAACATTGTGACTGATATGTGTTTTTCATCCAACGGGGATTGATACGAACTACAAAAATTAGGCGTACAATAGTGTGGTCTTTGTACATTTAGAATAAATTCAAATATATTGTTATAAATGTATGTGATATTCTTTGTGTATTTAACAAAGTTTTGTCCATAATCACATTAATATGACTCATGCGAATATACACAATGTACATACATATTACTTCCAATGTTGTCCTATTATAGAAGTTTACCCGTCATAATATCATTGGTTAAAGAGAATCAAATTATGTTTGAAAAAGTTTTATCTTTGCGCTCTAAATAATGTGTGCCAAAGGGATAAAAAAAATGTGTTAACAGTTTGTCGTTTAGAAACACACACATTTTTAATAGTCCATGATATTATTTCAAATGAAAAAAAAAAAAAAATAATAATAATAATGTTTAATTATTGATTAATAAATTGAAAAGAAAAATAGAAAATAATATATGTTCTGTCATAATTTTTTAAAGTTTTTTTTTTCTTCATTTTTTTTCTACTAATTATCTTACTTTAATTTGATCAAATTTTTATTCTTTTTAAATTAAACCAATATATATATATATATATTGGTTTAATTTAATATATATATATATATATATATATATATATTTATACATACTTTGCAATAATCTTTAATTGAAATTAATTGAAAATATTTATCTTTATTAAAGACATAAATGAATATTTTACTTTGTTTTACTATTGCAATTTCAATTTATAATAATAAAAATTGGAAAACAATTAAAATGTAATATAATTTTTTTAAAAACTTACATTTTAATCGCAATAATTTCTTCGTTGCTCAAAATTGCAATGAAATAATCGTATTCATATATTTTTTTTTTCCCTAATTTTATTACGAAACCATACTAAAACAATGCAAATTTTCAAACTTCTGTTCATAACTTTGGATTAATGTGTATATATATATCTATATATATATATATATATATATATATATAAGATTTTGGAAATGTGTAAAGACATGCAGCCATTTGCTCGGTAAATACTTGCATATGATTTAACTTTAAAATTCTATATATCATAAGTAAATACCGACTTAGAATCTCATTGCGTGGAAGTTGGTGTTAATGAAGATTCATGAGCTAGGGTTGACTCTATTCTAAAATCCTGCATACCAAGATGACTTTCCTTTTTGAAAGTTTCAAGGTTCATAGTTAACATAGGAGGTAGGTGAAATCTCTTTTACTGAAAGTTTCATCCTCCAACATCAGTCAGATTCAGATATAATGTATTATTAAGCATGACTTAAGATCGTACTTTCGGTACATCAAAAATTAAAGTGTAAAACAATTAATTTAAAATAATTATTTAAATTATTACAAACAGGTTTTATCACGAGCTAAAATAAACTTGAAAATAAGTGTATCTCGATGTTTATTCCTCGGAGTATGAAAGAAGACTGACGTGTGATAACTCGCACGGTCCTTTAATTGTTCCTTCTTGTTGACATTAAACGATCGACGTATGACGAAAGAAAAATACTCCAAGTCCAATGCGTCTTAAAAACTATACGATATTTTACGAAATGTAATATCGTTTAATTATAACCTCAAAGTACTCCAAGTGCATTGTACATTATTTAAATAATTATAAAACGTTCATATCTATAAGACGATTAAATACAGAGGTACGGAGAGAGTGTATCTCGATGTTTATTCCTCGGAGTACGAAAGGAGACTGACGCGTGATAACTCGCACGGTCCTTTAATTGTTCCTTCTTGTTGACATTAAACGATCGACGTATGACGAAAGAAAAATACTCCAAGTCCAATGCGTCTTAAAAACTATACGATATTTTACGAAATGTAATATCGTTTAATTATAACCTCAAAGTACTCCAAGTGCATTGTACATTATTTAAATAATTATAAAACGTTCATATCTATAAGACGATTAAATACAGAGGTACGGAGAGAGTGTATCTCGATGTTTATTCCTCGGAGTACGAAAAGAGACTGACGCGTGATAACTCGCACGGTCCTTTAATTGTTCCTTCTTGTTGACATTAAACGATCGACGTATGACGAAAGAAAAATACTCCAAGTCCAATGCGTCTTAAAAACTATACGATATTTTACGAAATGTAATATCGTTTAATTATAACCTCAAAGTACTCCAAGTGCATTGTACATTATTTAAATAATTATAAAACGTTCATATCTATTAGACAATTAAATACAGAAATACGGAATGAGTGTATCTCGATGTTTATTCCTCGAAATACGAAATGAGAAAATTCGATTTATCTCGAGAACGTGGATTTTAGAATAGAATCACCGTTAACCCGTGAATCTCCAGATGCAGTAATTTCCACGTAATGAGACTTGAATCGGTAATACTTGCAATATATTAAAATCAAATTATAAATCGCAATACAACGCAATTACCGACAGGCTGTATATTTCAATGTATTTTCAAAATCCATTCAATTTAATTTCCGATTAAATAGCACTAAAGTAATAACACTTTGTATTGCCAATAATATTTCTACAGGTCAATAGATAAGATATAATTAAATTTAAAGATGATTTCTTTAAAATTCGAACATTTATGTATTAATTATCATATGTGTTAATTATATTTATTATTCTTTATGCTTTTTTGTTTTTTTTTAACGTGAAACAAATGCCTAACAATGTCGTATCCAGTATGAATACATAATATCTAACAGAACTCATATTATCATATAAAAAGATATATATATAAGAGATTAAAAAGCATTCACAGTTTATTAAATTATTTACTCTACTCTAAATGAAATCAATTATTATGTAGGCGTAGAGAAATATAACCAAATAAGTTTATAAACCGATACGATAGACGCATGGAGGGGATAATGTTTTCCGCTTATATTTGTAGTTCATATTTTGTCCATACCTGTCGCTGAAGTCACAGACGCTTCGAATAAAAAGTAGTGAATAGCCTTAACGATCCAGTCTTCTTTCGCATTTCGACGAGGAATTATTGCAGCTGTCTCTTTCAAAACGTTCAAGATTAAACAATTAATACTTTTGGTAATTCTAATAATTATTTTAAACGATGTATAATGTACACAGAGTACAATAAACTAATATTTAAACAATAATCTAATTAGTTAAACATTACACAAATCGTAACAGGCATTTAATATAATATTTAAATGTAGTTTAGTTTTGATTTCTACGTTGTAGAGTACATTTAATATCGACAAAAACAAGTGTTTGACTGATTTTGAGCTTTCTCGATCTAATCTTCTTTTACATTCCGACGAGAAAACATCGCAGCTCTTTCTCTCTTTTTCTCTTAACAAACGTCTAAGATCAAAACAATTAATAATTTCGATAATTTTATTGTAATAACCTATTATAGATACATAGTGGAGACTGTTTTTTTATTGTGCTCGTAGTTCATATTTTATCCATACTTGTCGCTGATGTCGCATATGCTATGGACGATGAAAGATAAACATTAATAATATGAATTAATTCAAATGTAGAAATCGATCATATGTAATTATTTACAATATATATATTTGTGTGTGTGTGTGTGTATATATATGTATATGTATATATATATCATTCTTTTTTCTTTTATTATTCAATCAATAACAATGACAATACAGGCAAATAGGAGATAGATAATCGTTGATTGGTCTGTTCTTGTGTTGTGAGAACTGTCATCTAGCAGACAAAATAGAAACTACAAATAATGTTATTTGTATATATAATATGTGGTGTTCTTAAAATAAAGTTAATTTAGTCGTTTTAGAAAGAAGTTTGCCATAATGATTTTTTAACATACATCATTTAGCCATTTAATGGGTTATACCCGTAGCAAATTTAGATAGAACGAATTTATATTTAACGTTGTGTGTGCGTGTGTTTGTGTTAATTATGGGAAAAACAAAAACTATTAGCAAGGGTTGTCCTAAATGTGAACAACAGGTAATTTAATTTGATATTTTTCTTTTCATATATTAGACGCAATATAAAGGAAGGTATCAAATTTTTTTTTTGTCTAGAGGAATATGATGCTTCTTATATTTCAATTGGAATGGTATTTTTTAGTCGGTATAATAAATTTTATAAAACATATAATAAAATAATTGTATTATTTATATATATATATATATTTTTTTTTTTTTTTTTTTTTTTTTAATTAAACTTTTTTATATGAAATCTTAACAATATCCTGAACATAACCTAAATTGATATTTGATATTAATACTACATTTATACTAATCGTAAATGATTGGTTACAATCATTTTTATAAAACATTATAATTTTTTTTTTTTTTCTATTGTACACATACGATTAATTTTATGAATTTTTTTTTCCTTTTCATTTGTTTTTTTTTCTTTTCTGAAGTGAATAAAAAATATACCTCATTATACTGAAATTATATTATTTGTAGTGTTAATTTTTATATTTTTTAGCGTTAATTTAATATTTTTTTTCTTTTTTTTTTCTTTTTTTTTTTTTTTTTTTTTTTCTCCCCAGGTACCCGTCGCTTGTAAAGCTTGTCCATGTGGGCATTCATTTTTTAATGCACGACGTAATTCCATCAAAAGTCCTCCTAGTCCTGACAATGGAGTTATGAAAACGAGAAGAACTAATCGCATCAAACGTGAAAAGCCAAATTATTATGATGCTTTAGAATATGATAAACAAACGAAAAAAAGTTCTAAGGTATTTTCTATACACATATATCTATGAATATATTTATCATAATATTATCATAATAAAAAATTAATACGGTGTTTGTTGCAATTATATGAAATATTAAATTGAATGTTTTAAGATGATTAAACTCATTATGTTATTTTAATGATACTAAATGTAAAATTACCTTAATGAGTGATATGATCTATAAGACGTATTTAAAAAAATCTTACAGTTTTATTTTCTTTTTTTTCTTTTTTTTTTTTCTTTTTTTTTTTATAGATAAGACGTGCTGCGGATACCTCCAGTGATATAGATTGTCGTCAATTAAATAAAAAGAAAAAAAGAAAAGGTAAAGGAAAAGGTAAAAATGGTAGTAGTTCTGGATTGGGCGATGACGACGACGAAATGGAAGGAATTAGTGGCTTATCTCCTGAGAAACAGTTAACATGTTCTCTTATTTTACAAGAGCTTAATAATAAAATGAGGGTAGTGGCATGGAAGCCATCATGAATTTATCTGGGTGGAAGATGTACATATATAATTATGGGATTATAAGATGTGTTTTGATCGTACAAATACTTTCGTCTAAAGATAATAACATTAAATGAATGTCTTCGATGTTTTGAATAACGTCAAACACACATCACAAAGCAATATAATTTAAATTAACGAAGTGAAATATTCTCTATGTATATACATATTTTACAAAGAAATATTTTTCTTGTTTTTTTTTTTGTCTTTTTTGTATTCTTTTTTTTTTTCTTGTCCTTTTCTATCTGTGATTTTTGCTAATAGAATTTCTCTATTTATTCAAACTTTTCTACCATTCTTTTAGGTAGATAACACGTTATATTTATATCTCCAAAATCAATAAGACTAATCTAAGACAACTGATAAAAAACACAAAAGAAATAATTATATACAAATGTATATAGATATATGTAATATAAAATGTGAAATTGTGTAAAGGAAAGATAATTTTAATGTAATTATCATGTTTCATTTTGTTATCAATAAAAGATTTTGTACCTTATATATGTATGTATATATATATATATATATATATATACACACACATGTATAATGTAATTAATGATGTAATATTGTACATTATGTGCGTGTAAATAATATGTAAATAATAAATTGTAAAGGCAAATTGAAATAAAATCACAATGTGATCTGTACGCTCGTATTTTCATAGTGTTCAATATTGAGTTATAATTTTATGTGCGTGTATATATATACATATATATATATATATATACATATATATATGTATATATATATATATATATATATATATATGTATATGTATATATAATTTTTCAAGTTAATAATAATAATAATAAAAAAAAAAAATAACAACAATAAGCTAGAATAACAAGAACAACAATAATAACAAATATTCGAACTAGATTTGATTGATCATGCAGAACAACACGAAAATTTATTTCAATTCGTCAAATTAATTTTAAATGTATGAAGAAAGTTGTTATTCGATATGACTATCAACAAATTTATAAGAAACAAAAATTGTGTAGCGACAAAAATGCTGCGATTTATTAGTTTTCTAATACACGTTTACTCTCTCTCTCTCTCTTTCTCTCTCTCTTTCTCTCTCTCTTTCTCTCTCTCTCTCTCTCTCTCTCTCTCTCTCTCTCTCTCTCTCTCTCTCTCTCTCTCTCTCCTCCTCTTCCAAAGAATATCACACTCTTGCAAAATATTTTATTCTTTCACATTTGGATCTCCTTGACAATTGTTATTTTCAGTATTATTAACGGGCAGCTTCGTTGGTTTTGATACTTCATTAAATACCAATAGAAGAGGCAAACCTCCCATTACCATACATGTACCCATGCACAGGAAACATACGGTGTAACTTCCAGTTACATCACGTAAATAACCTGAAATTATTTATAAAAAGAAGAATAAACGATTAGATATTAAAGCGTCATTGTATCATAGCATTGTATCAAAATCCTTCGGCATTATTATCATCATCATTATCATCATGAAATTATTGTAATATCAAAAATGCGTACCTGCAAGAGGTGGAATAGAAATTGCTCCAACGCTTTGAAACATTCTGACCAATCCATAAGTTGAAGATATTTTATCAGTTCCATATTGGTCAGCAAGAAGGACGGGAACTAAGAGAAACCAACACCCCAAGCACAATCCGTACATTCCAACGGAACATGCCAAGACATAAAAAGAATGTGCCATTGGAATTGTTAAGACTGCAACACCGGCCCCGACGACGCTAGAAAAAATAAAAAAAGAAAAAAGAAAAACAAGCTTATGAAAGAATTTCTTTTTAACCCCGTTCTCATTGAACGTAATCTGACTTAAAAGAAAAAAAGGAGAAACAATCAATGAGCGGATGTACAAAAAAAAAAATAACATTGCCGAGTTTTATAATCCACTTCTAAAAAAAAAAAAAAAAAAAAAAGGGAAATAACATATTACATTACCTTCCAATGTATCCTTTTCGTCGATCAAAAAGTTGCAAATCAGATAGCCAACCTAATCCAAGTCTACCACATAAATCGAGAGCAGCCGAGATGGCAACTAGATAGCCAGCTTCTGCTTTCGAATATCCAGCTGCGTGAACGTAAGCTGGCAAATAATATAACATGTATGGACTTCCGGTCGACATTAGACTGACCGAGAAGCACATCATAATAAATTGTGGATTTTTCAATAATGAAAGATCGATGTAACGTGCAACTTTTTGCATTATCGTTTTTGGTTCCTCCGTTGTGGTAGCCATAACATCGTTAGGAGGTATCGGTACAGGACATACGACTGTCGTGGAAGATCTAAGAGATCTCAAAGATGATCTAGCTTTGTAAACGCACGTCGAATCGGTTGATAAATCTTCGACGCTATGCAATATACTTGAGCTTCGTATCTTTGAGATTGGTTTCATCATCAGACCTTCCCCCATAACGTCCTTCTCTTCATCACTGTCTGTTAATTCGACGGCTATTACGCTATTTTGATGGAACAATTCGTTAAGAAGATTATGACGAGTCGTTGGATCATTGACTGATTCAAACAGAAGATCAAGTTTCTGTTGTTTCGTAGCCTCCTGTCTACCATTGCTTTCGTTCTTTTTCTCACCGGACTTTAATCCATCGTCATTAGTTTCAACATCCGGAAGATAATTATTCTCGAGTGGTCTGTACAATGTTGCACTGACGCATACGTGAAGCATACATCCACCCAATAATAATATCGTACCGTGAAAACCAAAATTCTTTACCAATGTCTCGATTAAAAGTGGAAATACAAAGCTACCAGCGGCCGTGCCAGATACGCATATGCCGTTTGCCAGGGCACGATGTTTATCAAAGTATTGAGAAACGATTATGATGCCTGGTGTCGTCGATAATCCACCACCGATGCCTGAAACAAATTGTTTTGGAAGTTTTCATTTTTATTTATCAATTTTTTTTTTCTTTGATAACAAATACATCAGAGTAAAAAGGAAGAGAGAGAGAGAGAGAGAGAGAGAGATAAAACAATTCATATTATGATGAGTTTTACTCATCGTGAATCGTCAAATAAATTATTCAAAGTCGATTTATTTAAAGATCACATAAGAATTATCTATTATTTCTCTCTAATCTTTTTTTTTTTTTTTCTCAGAACACGCAAGTCCATATCAAATGAATTTGGAATTGTTCATGTCAATCAATTCCATCGTAAAAAATAATGGTTCTCTAAAATGGATCACGGCTTATAAATGATTTTAGGAAGCTCTAAAATAGAGTAAGTAATACGATGAAAAGTAATAATAATAATAATAATAATAATGTCTGAGAAGGCTATTATAAACGCTCGCCCTCATCCGCTTTTTTTATTTTTTAATTACCGTATCCTTCAGATGATAATAATAATAATAATAATAATAATAATAATAATAATAATAATAATAAACGATTTATAACTCACCAGTCAAGATACCAAATGTAAAAAAGAGATGTATCAAGCTGGTGGCGAAATAACTAGTCGTAAGTCCTAAAGCACAGAACAATCCACCGATGAAGACGACAGTTCGGCAGCTATACTTTTGACATAGCATGCTCGTTACAGGCGCTGAAAATGAATGATCGACATTAATCATATAGAGAGTATTTGTGTGTGTGTGTGTGTGTGTTTTTATCGATTAATATTTTTTTTATAAATAAAAAAGTACATCAATCTGGCGAGAAGGTAAAGATTTTGTTTTAAAAACTTTAACATAGTGCGTGGGTTAGCTTATAAATATGCATTTTTTTTATTTTAGTAAGATTCAGGATCAAAGTACCCGCGACGATGTAATAATGAAATATTACATATATTATACATTTGAAAAAAATTTTGTAGAAGAAAAAAAGAGAGAGAAAAAAGTAAGAAAATAGCTTTAAAAATATGTTTAAAAAATTATCAGAAAATTCGAAACATTTCAACTGTTGGCGCGAAAAATAAATCAATCAGTAAAATATATACTGTGTGTTTATATATATATATATATATATATATATATATATATATATATACATATAGAAGAAATAATAAAAAATAAAAAATAATAAATAAAAGATAATTGTAGAAAGACAATTTGACTTACCCAAGGCGAGACAAAGGCAAGAAAGTATAGCTGGTATCCAAGATGCAACCGATGCTGATGAGTCCTTAAACGTTTCCATGATTTCAACATAGAGGACGCCATAGGATTTGACCAGGCCAGCGACCCAAAATTGGACGAAAAAGGCACCAAAAACAATGACCCAACCATATCCACCATCCAACGGTACATAAGTACGATTTCTTGGTTTCCTGGTATCTCTCCTTTTAGGTTTCTTCTTTTTCTTGCTCGGCGCTATTTTCGAATTGGTTGTTTTAGAAGAACGTAATTCACGCGATTTCGCTATCAACGGTCTAGCCGTTAAACTCGATATAGTTAAAAGATTTTCATTATCCTCGTCCTCGATGGTATCCGGTGGACTTTGTAAATGAGGTGGCACGACCGGTGTCGAGGTAGCAGTGGCTTGTACCATCAACGAGGCCGGCCTTTTAGGGGATGGCACGCCATTACTTAAATCAAATACGGGAGCGGAATGAATCGAGAGTAAGGAGCCCAGCTGATTCTGTTGATTCATATTTTCATCGATGACGGCCGTACTGACCATCTCCTGTGACGCTGCTCCTTCTCCTCCTGTACCGCAACTACCCCCGACCGTCGTCGTCGCACGGTCGACCGATCTACACGAATCCTGGAAACTCCATTCCCGTGGCAACGACATTTTTTACTGTCTTCGACGAAACGAGAACCGTAATACATTGGAGTTCCGTATTCTTTCTCTTTATCTCTCTCTCTCTCTCTCTCTTTCTCTTTCTCTCTTTCTCTCTCTCTCTTGCACTCTTTTTTTTTTCTTACGCCTTTCTCTTTATTCCTTTTTAGCTTAACTCAAAGAGAAAACTTTTGTCTAATTATCTTTCTGTGTCTTTTTATTTTATACTCTTTCTCACTCTCTCTCTCTCTCTCTCTCACTCTCTCTCTCTCTCGCACTCTCATTCGTTCTCACTCTTTCTTTCTTTCTCTACATACGTTACCTAACTATCGTCTATGTACTTGATCTATGTATTCGTATACGTCATAAGCTCTCTCTCTCTCTCTCTCTCACTCTCTCTCTCTCTCTCACTCTCTCTCTCTTCCTCTTTCTCTCTTTCTCCCT